TCATCATAGGTAGATCTGCTTCTGCTTCAGCGTCACGTCTCATCATAGGTAGATCTGCTTCTGCTTCAGCGTCACGTTTCATCATAGGTAGATCTGCTTCTGCTTCAGCGTCACGTTTGTAGAAGCTTGGAAGTGCTTTTGCTTCAGCGAAGAAGGAAATAGTGAATAAAGCAAACAAAAGGATGACGAGTTTTGAATTCATCTTGAATTTTTTTTTTTTAATTGCTTGTGATTTGTTTAATTTGAAAGATGGAGAAATCAGGGTTGAGGGTTTTTATAATCCATTGGCAAGATAAATAGTCTTATTTATTTATATTATTTAATAATCATTTATGAACTTTAATATAAATGTAGCTTGATTAAAAACTTCAAATTCAAATAAGCCATTCTTTAATTATCGTTACTGAGCCGTACCTTTTTATTTTTATTATTAATAAGCCATTAATTATTCACAAGCCATTTAGCATCTCGGCATTAATTAATTTTCTAAAAAAATCTTTCTGATCTTCAACTCTTAGCGAATCGTAATAAAGAATTTTTAATGTGGCTGCTTTTATTTGTGATTATTATTATTGTTATTATATGGTAAACTTCCTCGAAAAAGTTTTTATATGTATGTATCTTTTTAGTATGTAAAGATTTTACAGGCTTTCCTAACTTAGAGAGAAATCTACCTAATACTTCTCAAGTCGTTTTCTGCGAGTATCGATATTTCCGTTTGTCGGATCCAACAACTACGACGCGACGTTAACGGAAGCATTTTTAATGTCTTCTTAGGTTTGTGGAAGTTAGATGGAATAACTCCTCTATTCGATTAGTAACACTGCTGCCACGAATTGTCGAATTTATCACACGCGCTTGCGCGCTGGTTGTTCCACTAAAAATAAAAGAAGAATTTACTAAGAGAATAATAAAGCTATGATATTTAAAAATACAATTTCGAAATTTTAAATCCAAATTCAAATGTAGTAGAAAATTCTAGAAAACATTTTAGAAGAATTGCTACAAGAAGGATCAAGGAAATTCATTCGATAATTATTATTAATAGATAACTCTAGCTTAATTAATTTTTGTAGCAATTAGAATTTTATTTTGTTTTTTTTTATATATAGTTTCATCATTAATTGATTATATAAATTAATTTTTAAATTTATTAAAGACTAAATAAGTTTCTATGCCAAAAAAAAGTGAATTATTGATAATAATTAATATAAAAAAAAAAACTCGGAAAAATTTCAAAAAAAAATTTTTAGATGAATCGCCACATTAAATTTAATTCTATATAAATTTTTGTTTTTATAAATTTATACTTTTTATAAAACAGATGTCTTAAATGAATAATTTTTCAAAGCATTCACTGGAAATTTTTTATATCTTTTTTTTTCATTTTATTTAACTTTGTCTTCCCAATCTTATATTTTTATTATTCCATTTGTTTATTTTGAGATTTCCATTCCTATAGAACAAAACCTTTCTTTTAGATTAGTTATTCATTGTTGTTATTATTGTTTTGATTGGTAAGCGATTCTTGGGATCCATAAAAACTTGATATTTTTTTCATCTTGGTCCTTAAATTATTTGATATATTTGATATTAAAATATTTCTAAGAATAATTGTTAATCTTATAATGTCTTCCACGTTATTTTAGTTATAAATATAGGCCCAGACATAAATCTCCTATAATTATTTCTTATTTCAAATTTTTTTTTATCATTAATTCGTAATACCCAAATGCATTCACATACTCTAAAATTTCTACTTCTATGTCGGCAGAATCATTTTGTACGTGATTACAAAAATTTATGTATGATGACACAATCGTTGCCTCGATCCGACATGTATTTTTTATAATCTTATTTCAAATGACAATGTCATGCATTCTGAAGATTTTCCACCATAAAGGTATTTATTATTACTGTATTTAATTCGATATACTATGCCAATAGAGAAATTCGTTTTCGAATGTTTAAGTGATATAAGACGAATCGAACTGATGATTTATTTAAAAAAAAAAATTTCGTCATCATTTGTTTGATTTTTTTTTTTCAAATCAAGAAAAAAAAATATATTTTCGATACCAACGATTGATTTTTTAATAAATGTTATTTGAATTAGGCGTACGAAGCGAAATTACATTAACTGGAAAAATAAATAAATACTGGCTGGTTAACGAATAAAAATGCATTATATTAGGATATGTTGAAATATTAAATGATATCATATATAATTAAAAACATTAAAATTATCTGTTATTATTATTTAATCTATTCAGGGCTAGGGTTTGCTCTGCTTCAGCGTCACGTCTGTAGTAGTAGTAGTAGGGGTTTGGGTTCAGCATCACGTTTCCATTGAATAATGGGGTTTGCCTCTGCTTCAGCGTGAGCGTCAGCGAAGAGGAAAATAGGGAATAAAGCACACAAAAAGATGATGAGTTTTGAATTCATCCTGAATTATTTTTTTTTGTTTGTAAATTGTTTATTTCGACAGATGAGTGAGGAATCAGGGTTGAGGGTTTATATAATCTTTTGGTAATATAAAAAAACCGGAATCAAAAAATCAATTTATTAATAAAAATTAATACGGTATACGTTTTCAATAATTAATTCACAACGGCGCTTCGTTGATTTTATGAGATTAATTAGAACGGCTTGTGGAATTTTTTGCCATTCTTCAATCATAAATTGTTCAAGATCGTTT